TGGAACCTGTTTGATCCAATTGCTTCCAACATTACCTTATAATAATGTCGTTATATTCTCTAGTAGTTTATCAGATCTTTCACAATCTGGTCAATTTTCCTTTACTAGATAGAAGTTGTAACTTTAACTCTTTCATATTATATACTTTAGTCAAAGGAGAACTGATTTTTTTTAATATTTACTTATTTGAAAGGCAAAAGTTACAGAAGAAAAAATAGGTAGAGAAAGAGGTCTTCCATCCATTGGCTCACTCCCCAGATGGCTGCAAAATCTGAAGCTGGGACAGCCGAAGCCAGGAGCCCAGAGCTTCTTCCAGGTCTCTCACAGCAGGGCCCAAGGATTTGGGCCATTTTCCGCTGCTTTCCCAGGTGCATTAGCAGGAGCTGGGTCAGAAGTAGAGCAGCCAGGATTCAACTAGCGCCCATATGGGATGCCAGCACTACAGACAGCAGCTTAACCTGCCATGCCACAGTGCCGGCCCCAAATTTATTCTTTGATAGCTATCAAGCACCTATTTATAAGTGCAAATTTCTCTACCTGGATCAACCTCCCCCACTCATTATTTCTCCAGAAGTCTTCTCTCACCCCCACACATTTTGTGGTCGGGATGGTTATGGTACTCATGACATTGGAACTGCGAATTTACTAGTCCATGCAGTCTATGAGATGAAATTCCTTGAAATCAGAAACTACATCTTCAGAATATGGTAGGTTCCCAGAAAGCACTTATGTACCACTGTTAGTAGAAATAATAATAACTACCACATACTGAGTGCATACTTTGTGTCAAAGTCAAATCTGTAAGATTTGAACAAAAAGCTCAATGCAAATAGCATTTACCACACCACTACCAAAGCTGTACAAACAGAAGCCGTATCTCATTTAATCCCAGGAACAATCCTATAAAACTGGTACTGTTATTCCCATTTACAAATGAGGAAATTGACTCAGAGATAAAGTAGTGAATCTGGAGAAAGAATCTGGGGCATTTACTTAAAAGTTTACATTTTTAACAATTTTAACAGATGAGTACAACCTCTTCACATAAGTTCCATTTCCTCAACTTCTAACCCATCTCATCTAACCCCGCCTCAGCTTCTAACACATCCAAGATCATCTGTTTCACAAAGAGAGGGAAAAAAAGAATAGAGTTGGAATCTTCCTTTGAATTGTATAATAATCATATTTTGTTCTTTTTGGATCCGAAGACTCACCTTTACCACCACCAGCTGTTACTTCTGCCTTTGCCTTTAAGTTTTTGCCTTTACATGGATGCTGAGAATATGGTTGGGGTTTTAACGAAGAAGAGAGCAGTAACTCATATTCTAATTCAGAGATTTGCTCTGGAAAGGTTCTATTAATCTGTCAAGTATGTATTTTAAAGAGAGAAACAGGCCAAACCTCAGGGAGGACACATAATGGATGGCTTGTATGGTAAACAACAGCAATAAATGATATGTCACAGCCAGAATCACATCACAAATAAGCCCAGAGAGTAAGGCAACACTTCACAGCCAGTTTTATTTTCTGAGTGGGAATAATTCATAGTATCACTGTGAGGATTAAACGAGATAATCCACGTAAAGCACTCAACATACATCAGTAAGCAAACCCTGTTGTTGTTGTTATTAGTATTATTATTATGTTTAGGATTAAAGACCTGTGAAAAGCTAATGAAAACCAGAGATCCCTGAACCCCTATTCTGATCTAGGATCAGAACTCTAGGTCTAAGTGAAGAATAATAATAAAATCAATGAGGGTTCCAAATGATGCAGATGCAAAGGATTCAGAAACGAAAAGAGTGTCTCAAGCGGATGTCTCAGAAATGAAACAGGCAGGTGTAGTAACACAATGAGAAACTAAGAAATCACTGAAGCGAGCAACATTCACCTTGCAATTTCTTGGTAACTTGGCAAATATAGAATACACGTGTAACACTTGTTGCTAACAGTAATACACTCAAGAAAAACTCAAGAGAATTATATTTAATGTCAAAGTCAGCCAGTGGGATCAGCAGAAAAGGCACTGGAGAAACAGTTACCGGAGAAAGAAAGGCAGTGTGACTTTAGAACCGTTCGGAAGTTTGTGGACAATTGTCCCTGCTTCTCCAAGAGTCCCCAGCCTTACAGGGATGGCCACTGTCGCTACTGCACAGCTTTTCCCTTTCTCTAGGGAACCCACAGCACTCCCACGGCTGCAAAGGAGGATAGATTGAGGGAAGAAACCCAATACTGAGTACCTACAATGCGGCAAGCACAGGGCATGGTCCTGTCATACAAATCTGAATTCAAATAGCGGGAAAGGACTTGGAGCTGACAGAGAGCGGCTAGCAGGTGAGAAGCAAGGAAGTTCTAGGAGTTCGAGGACACGAGACGCCGCAGGATCAGAGAGAGGTCGGCAGCAAAGGCAGGAGGGCATGAAGGCTACAGAGTGGCACAGGAGGTGGGAGCGGGCGTGTCAGCAGCTAACAGACCGTGCAGGAACGCAGAACGCCGGCGGAAGGCGAGCTCCGGGTTAGGCTGGCCGTGTAGCTCGCTTACCTTGCTACGCCTCCCAGAGGCGATGCGTTGCTGCGAGCTGGAGGCCGGGAAGGACTGGGAAGGGACGTTGAGCATCCTGGACCCTGTCCCGGGCCCTGCCCGGGGTCCGCCGCCGCCAGATAAGCTCGTTCTGGGGCTCAACTCTCAGAACAGTACTCCCGCTCCGGCTCTGCGGCCGGGCAGAGGCCAAGCCCCTGACCCACTTCCGGGGTCACCGGGGGTGAGACACGCCATGACGCAGCACGTCCGCGAAGGGCGGGGCCAACGGGACGGCGGGAACGCCGGCGGAGGTGGAACCGGGGAAAGTACGCATGCTCAGTTACTCTTGCGTCCTGAACTTCAGCACTAGAGGGAGGTGACAGCTATCTCGTGGAAGTCTTAACAGTGAAGCTGTTCCTTAGCCCTGGTGCTGACCGGGTCTGAGTATTCAGAATGCCAGTGTCTGTCCATGTTAAGCAGTACCACCATACTACTTGGAATACAGAAATAAAATAACACCATAAAAGCATTATGATTGCTCTGAAATTCTCCCTTGTAAAGTACTAGGCTGTGCAAGGAGAACCTCACACCTTTAAGTGTCAAGGTATCAAGTGCCGACAGCCAGCACTGGGTGTAAGAAGAAAACTTCACTTTTCAGTGAAATATGTGAGTAAATCTCCTCCTGCTCCCATCTTCCCTGGAAGTTGCAGCTCACCCCTAACTGATGTTGATCACATCAAGCACATCTGGTCTGGATGCCATCCCTGCCCTTAACGACTGAGTGGGGTTGTGCCAAGTTGCTTTGCTATCTTAAAGCCTCATTCTCCCCATCTGCACAATGGCCAGAGTAAAGGGTCATATGTAAACTGTAGGGCAGTGCCTGGCTAACAGTAGGTACTCAATAAATGGCAGTGGATCTCTGTACTATTCCAACATATTCATGAGATAAGCACAAACACTGTGAAGGGAAATACAAGTCCCTAATGCTCCAAGTCCATATGGGTGGCCTGCTGCATTTTGTGTACACACACAGAGACCCTGAGAAGAGAATTCAATAAAAGCAGCTTTTAAGAGGAGACACATAAGTAACCTTCCTCATGATCCTTTCACTAACTTCGCCTGCTGAACAGATCCTCATGGCTGAAACCTCCTCCATTACAATTACCTAGTCCATAAAATGCCTGGAAATCAAAGTTGTTTGTAGCGCCTTTTATATTAGAATGTGGCAGGCATTTGATGCAGTGATTATATGCCATTTGGGGTACCCACATCCCATACCAGAGTACCAGCTCCTCCCCACCCCATGCAGTTTTCTCCCTGCTACCTTTGTGGGAGACCCAGATTGAGTTCCTGGCTCCTGGCATCTGCCAGGCCCAGCTCATGCTCACTCTCTCTCCAAAATCAAATAAAAATAAATAGGAATGAAGAGTGTGCCACTGTATGTGACCACTCATTAAGAGGCATTACTTAGTCAGCTAATCACCTCTGACCTTCATCTCTACCCATTAATATTCTGGAATGGTAAAGAAATATTATTTGCAATTGGAATGCTTACTTTGAAAAGACTGTATGTACGCTAAAAGAACTTCATAACCATGTTATACTACATTACTTTGGAAATTGTTTTCTCCCATTAAGTGGTGATGCATTCATCTACAAGTATCTAGGAGAAAAACTCACTACGGATTTCACTTCCCATGAGAAAAAAATTACATGGGAATATCAAAAGCAAGGAACTAAAGCAAAGGAAATGTGATAATATCAAAGATTGTTTCATAGCTGCCAAATTCCTTAGCTCTTCCTTGGGCAAAAATTAGACAATACTATCAAATTCTGGCCTTTAGACTCCATGTAAAATGTTCCATTTAAATGTTGTTTTAATTTGGGGGATTTCTCATGCAGTATGATACATACTGAAGACCAACGCTATGAATGTACTTCAAAAAATTCACTGAAAATGGAATTAAAATTTAAGTTTATTTTGGTACAAAAATGATTTCTGAAATCCATGCACATGAGTATTTTGCTACTGAATTTAAGGATAGCAGAATTATTACAATAAGAGTTACTTTATTCACTTATTTAAAATTCCTAAAATTTAAGAGCCCTAAGATTGATTCCCTTTCTCAGTTATGATTTAAAGTGTTTTCCACCATCTTCCATCAAGAACATAATAATAAGTGTGTGACTGATAAAATAAGGTTATTTTCAGTATTATCTAGTAAGACAATATTAATATATAACCACAACATCCAATAGGGACCAGCAGCAAACAGCTGATGTTACAAGGTCCAGTCTTAAAAATTAAATACTATAATTTGCAAAAGTGTAACTCAAGGGAAATTTGTAATTTAATGAACACACCAAAATTATAGTTTACAAACCCCAAATATAATACAAATAAGACATTTATAGCATCTTTTTAAAATTCAAACATTTAATTCTAGTGTAGGGATTTTAAAAAGGCCACACTACCATAGTAATTATAAAATATTCCATTTTATTAATAGTTTATATACAAATAAATTAGTTTGAAAGGATTATAATACATTTGTACACTAAATTTAAATCTTGTAACCTTGAATGTCATCAAAAGTAACTAATCAGATTGATTTTCACAGGTCAGTTCCTCAATTTCATCTTCACTATCTGAATCTTCATAAAATGAAATTGTGGCTTGAATTGGAAAATTTTTCAGAAGAGCTTCTGCTTCTTGATATAAGTAATCATAACACTTTGATCTGGGCCAAAACAGTCTGAAAAAAGTAGACAACATAATATGCTTTATTTTCCCCCCACACACAGAATCCTTACACTCATGAAACAGTGAAATTTCAAGAGCTCCATATATTTAACAACTGATGTATGCATTTTCATCATGGAGTTTACTTGCTAAATTGTCAACAACTGGCAGACTTTAAAATTTTATCCAAGCTGAAGCTATAAAGGTATAAGATCAATGTTTGGCTTACTTCAATAATTATGGATGTATTTATTCTTAACAAACATACAACAAGGTTTACTTTCAACTTCTAGGTCATTTGGAAAAAGAATCCTACCACTAAACCAGAACTTCTGATGAATTTATAAACTTTATAAAGATGACAAAATACTTGTACCTTATACAAAGGTGGAAACTGCCTACTATTTTGCTTAAAATTCAGATTAACTCATGGATGTAGCCAATTTAAGTTTATGAAAGTACAAAAAGCCATATTTAAGTTTGTCTTTGTACTAACCAACTCGAGGTTAGAAAGGCTATCTCTAACTCAGCCTACCTGATCTGCCTCACTTCTCTCCATTCAACTAAATTTAGCAACACGATCCTGATATTGAGAAATGATGCACATTTCATACATATAATTTGCATATGATTACCTCAGAATTTTAAAAATCTGACAAATATTAATCTTGCCATCTGGCTCCCTATTGTTTTTCATCCGAGGAAAAGAAAGGAAGAGAGATTGGGCTGAATTACCAACTACAGTGCAGTCATTTTAGCATAGGATAAATTGCCCTGTGTATCCATATAATAGAATGATTTTAACAGAAGTTATATTATGTTCAGTATGTTTCATCTTAAAAGGCAGAAAAATAGGCTATTTAGTTTATAAATGTGTCTAGAATTTTCATTACTAGTTTCTAATTTTGATACTTAAATAAATAACTATGATTTAGTCATTGGATACCCATTATGGTGATTCCTTATGCTAACATAGTAGATAATTCAAAGATGAGTAAATCATGGTCCCTACCCTCAAGAAGTTGACAACTGAATAAAAAGAATAAGAAACATACCAGTCAAAACAGAAATTAATAAAAATGAAATAAAGAGAAATACAATTAAATTGTAACAGTTCAGACAACAAAGGAATGACTCATATAGGAAACATTTTCTGATAAATTTCTGGAACTGTCAAAGCCAAAAAATCCAGTTAAGCTGTTACCACCCTCTGCTCAGAATTGCTCAGTGTGAAGCACTTTTCTACCAGGGACTCCACACTGCCCTGAAATATTGCTGTTCCTATTCTTCTCAGGCCTTGCTGGCTCTCCTCCTCTGCCTGCTGGGTAGATGGTGGCCTCTCCTTTAGGGCTTCACTGGGAATGTTCACCCCTCCCTCTACACTCCCTAGAATGACCCGAGCCTCAGCCCTGATTTCCCAACCCACTTCCCACAGGCTCCATGGTCTCTGTGGCTACTTCCGACATTACATAGGGGCCCCCGAGTTATGTATGTAGCTCCTACAGATATCTCTATTTGGATGCCCCAAGGGCACGTTAAATATAATAAGTAGAAAATTGAGCTCATTTTGCTCCCAAAATCTGTTTCAAGTTCTAATTTCCATTCTTAGTACAGCATTCACCTGATAACTAGCCACGAACTTGGGAGCCATTCTGGCTTTTTACCTCTCCGTCACCTACCATATCCAATTCATTACAAACTCCACTCTATTTTGCTATCTAAATATTCCTCAAATTCATCCAGTCCCCACATCACTCCCAAAGTCTTAGAATGGCTCATCATTTCTCACCTGATTTAGAAGCAATGGCAATAGCTTCCAATCCCGCGTTGCTCTAAGCCTGTACATCATTCCTTAGTGTGTGTGTGTTGTTGTTGTTGTTGTTGTTGTTTTAGAATTTGGAAACATAAATATGATCACACTGCCCTTCTAGATAATCCTTTGGGTAACCACCCAATGCCACTACAGAGTAAAGTCCGTGGTTTCTCAGTGCCACACACAAGATCAAGATAAAGCAAGGTGTTCAAGACCTGGCCTCCCACTACCCTGCAGCAATGACCACAGCTTCTCACACCCACATTCTAGCCCTTTGGATCTCCAGAATTATCCGTGCTGTACCACATCCCTGCATCTCTTTTCCTATGCTGTTCCCTTGGGTCCCACGCCTCAACCATCTGGCTAACTTCTTCAAGACCATCCAGGTAATCACAACCTTGACACATCCGTTCCCTATTCCTCAATGCTCCCCTTGGCAGGCAGGCACTTAGTTGTAAAACCGACCAAACTAAGCTCCATGACAACGCTTCCCACCTGCTGTATTTTTCCCTACTCTTTCATTATTGCCGGCAGCATGGTAGGAAATTAACATGAATTGGCTACTACTTGCTGTTTATAAACACCTACACTTAACAGGCATCCTGTAGCTCTGCCTTTAACAGCTGTCTGAATCGAGCACACTGCAGAATTAACTTTTCATGTGAATAAAAGCTATAAAGAATCTCAAACAAAGGCTGACTTCATGTGGCTAACAGCAGTAAACTGGGGCCTGTTTGCAGTAAACAGTGAACTCAAGTAACTTTTCACCCCATTGTGTGATCACCTTTAGTAATCTTAAGGATTTCCATTACATTTCTATGTTCTTTTCTATGTCGACTTTGATTTGCTGAGACACTGCAACCGTTAACCCCATTCTTCCTTCTGTTACTTGCAAGGCAGTAACATACACCCTCTGCCTGGTGGGAGCCCAGTTTTATTCGGCCCCTTTGGGATAAACCGTGAAACTGTTTTCGAAGGTGTAAGACGTCACCTTTGTTTTACTCTAGCATGCACTTGCCCTCTTCGTACTCCTTCAGCACTGACTGCGTGTGCAGGAGCTCCCACGCTTCTCATTTCTATGAGTAACGGACCGCCACGACTGCCAGAGGCAGTCACCTTGAAGAAAGCTTGTGCAAGAGAGGAAAACTGCAAGGGCCGCTGCTGAGTGCGGGTGCCGTGCCCTGGGCTCCTCGCGGGGCTGGATGGGGCGAGACCTCCGTGGAGGCTTGACACTCACCTGACTGGGTGTCGATACTGGGAAAGCTTTCCCGAGTCTTCGGTCATTCCGGGGCCACAGGGTACCTGGGGGCAAAAGGAGAGGGATCCCAGTTACCAACCTCCTCGTCTAGAACCTGGAATCGTCCACCGTGCCCCAGGGGATGTGATCCTGTCCCCATACCCCTACCCCAAACCCCCATCTCCCCAAGGCTCCCATTCAGTATTGTCCCACTGCATGGACACCGACAGGGCTACCGGCGGGTGCGATCTTCAGCGAGGGGCAGGCGGAGTGTGCGTCTCCCTCCGAGCCCCGCATCCCCAGCAACGGTGCAGCCACTGCACCCCGCGGAGTCGCGGCTTCCTCACCTCTTCCGCAGGGAGGGGCGGCACCTGCTCCTCTTCCTCGCCTCGGGGTTCCTGCCACGGTCTCCAGAAACCTGCAGGCCTGCAGGATGGGGAACACAAGGTGCGCAAAGGAGACGTGAGCCCAGCCCCGGGAGAAGCCGCCGCGTCGCGCGCGCGGCGGGCTGGGGACCGGGAGCGAGGGGAGGAGCTGGGGCGGCGCGCGCGGGAGGCACGGCGTGGTGGCTGCGCGCAGGGCCGCGCGGAGGGGCCGTACCCCGACTCCGCGCTCCTGCGCCACGCTGGGCCGTCGAGGGCCGCGGGCGCCGGGTGGCGGCTGCGGCAGCGCGCGCGCTCGCAGGCCCCGTTCTCCTCAGCGTTCTCCGCCTTCTCCGCGCTCGCTGCGGTCTCCATGGCGCGGTCCGGCTCGGCGCCAGCCGCAGGCATTGCCCGCGGAGCCGAGCTTTATAAAAGCCCTCGCGGCCTCTGCGCGTGCGGAGCTTTGTGCTCTCTCCGCCCCCTCCCCGCGTAAACAAAAAGGCTGCGCGTGAAAGCTTACCGCGCCCGGCCCCGGGTGTGAACGCGTGCAGCTCCCAAATGGCCGGGAAGGTGTTCTTCCCAGCGAGTGTTAATCGCCGGTCGACACTTGGCTTTGGTGAAAAACATCGCTCGCCCGAGCGGCCAATTTCCATGTGAAGAGCTTAGGAGGAGATGAAATTAAGTGACTCTACACGTTTTGTGTATTTCTGCAAAAGGGCCAAGTGGCTGGGGATTGCGTGACTCATCCCACGGCTCTTTGACCTTTGGCAAATGCAGCTGGGTTTTCCAAAAAACGGGAGGGATGCAGACCAAAATGAAAGGGAATGGTTTCCCTTCCTCTCTCTGACACTTTTTTTTTAAAGGTTCAGTGGTCTCCTTAAGAAAGAATGTTGGCTATTTTGTTTAAAAATGTATTGATTAATTGGATGCATAGATCTGCCTATTTGTAGGTCATTAAAAATTATTGGCAGCAAGAGATGAATTGTGAAAGACTGAGTGTTCCAGCAAGAGTGCCAAGGGCGGAGTCATGTGAGTTGAGCGTATAAAACTATCATCTTATTCCGTAGTTTTGTGATTTTTTTTTCCCCAACATCTTGTGAGTATCTCTCTACAATAAGTCTGTATACCTTGGTCACTATTTGGCATTTTGTCACGCAGTGACAACTAGAAGATTCTTTTCTGGGGGCAAGGAGTGTCTGAAAGGATATTGAAATCTAGAAAAACGTATGATGCGATACATAAAAAAGTTAGTCAATCTGTTTGTGCCCGTAATCGAACTCGGTAAAAAGTGTTTTGCCTCAAAGGAAAGATGATATATAAATGTTATAAGTTTCTTCAAAATATTTTACATAATGGAGCAGAACTTTCTTTTGAAAGTTGTGGATTAAAATCATGAACATAAATGATAGTGTCTTGTATTCATTCTGTTACTGTACAGGAAAATAATCCACCTAATTTATACCTAAAGGGCTGTACTGATCTACTTGGCAGGAAGGTGAGAGACAGTTTGCTTCAGAAAATGAAATCAGTGAGAATGCACACCTAACACAATGCCCTTGAGTTATTGTTAGATTAAGTAAAATAAAACTTATAAGGTGCTGTTGCAGTGTCAGACATATAGTAAACCATCACCAGATTTTTTTTTTTTTTTTTTTTGACAGGCAGAGTGGACAGTGTGAGAGAGAGAAAAAGGTCTTCCTTTTCCATTGGTTCGCCCTCCAATGGCCGCCACACTGAGGCCGGCGCACCGCGCTGATCCGAAGGCAGGAGCCAGGTGCTTATCCTGGTCTCCCAGGCGGGTACAGGGCCCAAGCACAGCAGAGAGCTGGCCTGGAAGAGGGGCAACCGGGACAGAATCCGGTGCCCCTACCGGGACTAGAACCCGGTGTGCCTGCGCAGCTAGGTGGAGGATTAGCCAAGTGAGCCGTGGCGCTGGCCCTTAGATCTTAAACTGTTTTAAAATTATAAGCCCTTTATAGATGTTAAGCTATTGAATGAAATCGCTTATTATTTCAGTTGCATGAACTTTTTTTAAAGATTTTTAATTTATTTGAGAGGCAGAAATACAGAGCATGAGAGACAGAGAGAAAGGTCTTCCATGTACTAGTTCACTCCCCAAATGGCCACAAACAGCGAGAGCTGGGCTAATCCAAAGCCAGGAGCCAGGAGCTTCAAGGAGTTGGGCCATCTTCCACTGCTTTCCCAGACCAGAAGGGACAGCTGGAGCAGAAGTGGAGCAGCTGGGACACAAACCGGCACTCATATGGTAAGCTGGCGCCCCAGGCAGAGGCTTAACCTACTATGCCACAACACCAACCCCTTGCATGAACATATTTGAGGTTTTGGAATGTGCTAAATGAAATCTAACAGTGAATAAAATACTCCCTCATCCTCAAGGAGGTTAGTCACTACGTTATGTGGCCATTACAATGGTCACATGAACAAGGATCTTTTTAATGTGACCTATTCCTTTTAGACAGAGAAGTGACACACAGGAGACTTAGACATCTCTGTCAGATAACCAGGAAAGCCTATTAGCATAAATAAAACCTAATTTGAGATTTCTAGAAGAATCAAGTAATAAAATCATCCATGTATGCGGTACAGGAATGGGAGAAGAAGGAACAGGTAATCGCTGGAGCAGAGATGTCACTGAAGAAATACAAAGGGTTTTGACTACTGACAATCTAATTTGCTGTTCTAGGACATTCCAAATGGATTCTTTAAGCTTTGGTGGACGATTTAAATCAGAACAGTGTAATGGTCATAGTTTGCATTTTATAAAATTCACTCTGGGAGACATAGAAGATGGATTTAGGGAAGACTGCTACTGACAACAAGATCATTTCACTGGGGTGGAGAATGTCCAGCCTGTGGACCATATAAGGCCTGCAAAATCATTTGTTCTGTCCTGACAAAGCAACTGCAGGCAGGACTCACAATTCAATAAATCTATACCAGGCTAATTTTTCAGTTGATAATTTTTTATGGTCCATGAATGACATAAATATTCAAATGGCCTTTGGTAGACAAAAGGTTCCCCACCCCTGATTTCAAAGATCACTGCCATCTAGGCAAGAGGTAGTAAATTAGCAAATGTATGCTAGGCATGGTCATGAATGAATAGATTTGACAGACACTTGAGAAATAGAATCTGCAAAACCACCTGAGTCATTAGCTATGGACAGACATAAAAATGGGGTTTAGCTGTCCTCTAGGGTTTCCATTCTTGACCAGGGAGATGATGATGGTGTGAAGACAAAGAAAATGGAAAGTAGGAGAGACAGCAGGTAAGATTATTTGTTGTTGTTTTATTCTTTTAATGGTACATAGGGAAAACTAATGAATTTGCTTTTAAGTATTGGATCAGAATGGGCTGGACTATACAATACTAACATATACCTTCAAAGTTCTATAGCCTTAAAAAGCAAAGATTTGTTTCTCATTCATGCTGTATGTTCATTTTGGTTGGTGGGAGATCTGTTCCATAGCACCTTCACTTACAATGCAAGCTGATGGAGCCTCTTCCCCCTGGAATGTGTGCCAACTTTCAAAGATTTCTGCCCAGAAGTGACACACATCACCTCCAATACATTTTACTGCTCAAAACAAATCATAGGACACACCTCAACTCAAAGGAATGATGAAGTTCAATGCCACTGTAAGCCCAGATGTTGCTGATAAGGGATGCCAATGTTCCAAGCAGCAACCCAAGTTGGCCTCTATACATATATTGAAGCTGATTTCCAGTGTGGCCAAGGTCAAATACTATGTTTCTTTCCCTTTTTTGCATAATTTTGTCATTTATATCAAAGATGGGGTCTGTTAGCTAAACCATGAAGCTTTGCTAGAAAAAGAGAACAACTAATATAATTTCAGGGACATTCTATTTATTATTTTATCATTATATATGGGCTTATCAATCAAGCTTTATGTAGTATAAGGACGTAAAGTCTTGTAAATTAAATATAATGAAATATGGCGGGAGGGAGGGGTACGGGCAGTGCTGTGGTATAATGGGTAAAGCCTTTGCCTACGACACCACAATGCCACATGTGCACTGGTTTGAGTCCCAGCTGCTCCTCTTCTGATCTAGCTCCCTGCTATGGCCTGAGAAAGCAGTGGAAGATGGCCTAGTGCATGGGCCCCTCACCCCTGTGGGAAACCAGAAAGAAGCTCCTGGCTCCTAGCTTTGTATCGGACCAGCTCTGGCCATCGTAGCCATTTGGGGAGTCAACCAGCACATGGAAGACCTCTCTTTGTCTTTCCCTCTCTCTCTGTAACTCTGCCTCTCAAATAAATAAATAAATAAATCCTTAAAAAAAGAAAAAAAATACAGAATCACGTAACAACCTAAGGTATAACATATTCATGTTATAGTTTAGATTTATTTCAGAATTTGTCCTGAGTCCATTAGAGCACTTTAAAATATGTGCTTTTTGTAACATATCAACACACTTTTCATAACACAGAAATATATGTAGTATATTAGGATTAAAATTCTACAAAATTTATTTATTCAACAAGTACTTAGTGAACATCTGCTATGTGCCAGGTAGTGTTCTAGGAGCTTGGGATACAGCAATGAGCAAAAGTGATGAAATCCCACACTACATTCTAACAGACATATGTCATAAAGCTTTATTTCACTACAAGAAACTATCATAAACTCATCTTATATGTGGTACATGTGTGCCTTATGTGTGTGTTCTGGATCTTTGCATGACTACAAGATAAGAGAAAGAATGTATACTCTAGAGAATAAGTACTTAGGTTATGGTCCCTGAGAAGGAAGAAAGAAAGAAATCAAGACCACACTTTCAAATGCAGGGGAGCAGGCATTTGTCCTAGCAGTTAAGACAGCAGCAGCAGCATGCCTGAGTTCAGTTCCTGGCTCCAGCTCGTAACTCTAGCCTCCCACCAGTGTAGACCTGAGAACCAGGGACACTGGCTTGAGTAATTGGATTCCTGGATTGTGTTCCCAGCTCCTGCCCCAGCCCATAGCCCAGCCCCATGTGGTAGCATTTGGAGAGTGAACTAGTAGACGGGAACTCTCTATCTCCATGGCATTCATATTCTCCGTAGCGTGTGCACACACAGACACACACACCCACACATAGACATACACCATTACCTTTCTACCTGTCTGCCTCTCAAATGACAAAGCAAAGTTTACAAAATGGTTATGAGTTTCTGTATTTTCTGGAAAACAATAACAAATGAAAAGTAGAATTGGAACTTTGAATATGATGTGGTGCTATCCTACTCTTTTCGATGCACAGGATGACCTCAGCTGGGATGTGACTTATTCCCCACTTACAAACTGAGGTGGAGAACAGACGTGTGAAGGAATGTGGGGAACATAATGACTCACAGCTGCTGCTGCCACCATGTGCCTCCTGAGTCAGGCCAGTGCTGCTGGTAACAAGAACAGGGCTAGTCTCAGTTCCTACAATTCCCCTCTGTTTCATGACTTTAGGAATATTATTTAAGGAAAACTGTGATACCTGCCTAATTAGCTACACTCCTTTGCAAAAAACTTGTGCATACAAAATGTGCTCCTTACTGTAAATTTACAATGTTATAAAACAGTGCTCATTTGTATGCAAAATATTCATTTCTGTTTGAATGCCAACAGAGTCAATTTTATTAACATTTTCAGTATTTTACTTACATTATGGTTCCACACAGAAAAATTGTGAAAAATTGAATACAAAGTCCTAAACATTACATGTATTGGAGATCTTTAAAGGAAAAATATTCTGAAGCTAGATTA